TCAACGATGCGGCCGCTCTCCCAGTCCTGATACTTCTGGTGTTGCTGCTACTGTTACTGCTACTGCTGCTACTCAGGCGCTACGAATACCAGTGCCGATAATGAGTATTATAATGCCGATAGCCATACTGGTCATCATCGAACTAATAGCCATGACATCGATAACAGTAGTAACATCAATATGAATCAGCATAACCCTTCGACTCATCACTCTGCTTCAGTTGTTACCCTCCCCCTCCTCCTCCTCCACTTCCTTCTCCTCCTCCCCCTCCTACTCCTCCTCCTCCTTTTCCTCCTCCTCCTTCTCATCCTCATCATCATCACCCACTCTGTCAAATGATTTTAAGTCTCTATGTTGGTGCGGACGTGGAGTGGGTTTGGACATGGTGATCCTGCCTGTCCTCCTTGTCCTCCCTCTCGCTCTTCTCGTCCCCATCAAACTTCAACTCCTCCTTGTGGTCCTCCTCGTGATCCTCCTCTTACTCCACTTCCTCCTCCTCCTCCCGCTCGTCCTCCTCATCCTCCTCGTCCGCATCCTCCTCCTCCTCCTCCTCCTCCTCCTCCTCCTCCTCCTCCTCATCATCATCATCATCATCATCATCATCATCATCATCATCATCATCATCATCATCCTCTTCTATTCGTCCTCATCCAACTCGTCATCCTTTTTCTCAAGCTTCTCCAGGTCTCCTCACTCCTCCGCATCCTCCCACATCTGCCTAATCTTCCTCCCCCCCTCCTCCTCCTCCTCCTCCTCCTCCTCCTCCTCCTCCTACTCCTCCTCTCCATCTCCTCCTTCTCTTGATGTGTTCACTCCGCCTGCACCCCACTCCTCCCCCCATCCGTCCCGAACTCTGTCACGAGAGCAGGGTGGGTGGCTCTGTCTTGCCCGATCGCCTCTGCAGCGCGCCAGTCTTCTGCAGGTGAACATGCACCACCTCGATGATGTGGCTCGGGATCGAGTTGGCCTTTGGCACTGCACGGATATGATTTACGAAATCACAAAGACCGACTGGCCATATCTGGGGGAGCTGCGGTCCTCTCCCGCCCCTGGCCAGGGGGTAAGGACCACAGTTCCCCCAGGTATGGCTGGTCTTGAAGGCCACCGCAAGAATGCACCAACTCAAGGCGCAGGAATGAGCCGAGCAGGGAACAGCGCACTGGCCGGCCTGCAGTTGGCAAGCCCACGCACGAAACAATGGCCTGCAAGAGCGGGCGACGAGGCTGGCAGGGCCTGGGAATGCGCAGATACAGCCCCTGAAGGTAGTCTACGGTGGCATCAACAGGCCCCGAAGGAAGTCGGGCGTGGTCCCAACACATCCGCGACGCATCTGGTGAGGCCTGGACATCTGTTTGGTGAGGCCATCCCGGATATACTTCTGGTGGGGCCCAATAACAAGCCCCAGAGGCCCGAATCGGATTTTAAAAAAGCGTACTGCAAAAAGTCTTCGGAGATCTGGGTGTGTGTCTGCTGGCCTCCAGCACCGGGCAGATCTTGTGGGCGTTGACGCCCACCTGGCCCTGCCAGTCGCGCACGTGGCCGAAGACCCGCACATACTGCCCCACCCCGACCTGCTCCGTGGACGCGTCGCCATCGAAGTAGCGGTGGACACTCACGCGACCAGTGCCGTCGTTCACCAGATGCACACGTGGGCGATTGGCCACAGAAAGGGCCAGGGTGGGCCCAAGAACAGAGAAGCAGAACCTCAGCGGCTCCAAAACTGTGGAGCGCGGAAATCCACAGATGTGCATCGCTTTGGGGGCGACTAGCTACGAGTAGATCTGACAGTAAGCGAATCTGGGGATGGACGGGCCATGGACTGTGATTGACCCCTGGTCAGCACGACCCAGATGCCATGTTTGCTATATCGCGGTGACTATGGGGGTCTAAAAGGAAATGAGTCCGGGGGGGTAACAAGCGTTTCGCTTGAGACGTCCACGCAATCTGGGCGCGAATGGACATATGTCATACTCCCTGGCGGCTCCCCCCTTAGGGTGATCAAGTAATACGCCTGCTGCATAACGATGGTCATGGGGCTCTCTGAAAAGAGAGGAGCCAGGGGGGCAAACAAGCATTTCGCTTGAAACACCCACACAAGCTGGGCGCGAACGGACAAGCGTTTCGCTTGAAACACCCACACAAACACATAATCCCTGGTCGTCTACCCCTTGAGGCACCCAACTCCAATGCCTGCTACATCGCGGTGACCAATGGACTCTGAAAAGAGAGGAGCCAGAGCTGCCGAACAAGCGTTTCGCCCGAGAAGTTCCCACAATCTGGGCGCGAATGGGCAAGCGTCCTACAACCAGGCGGCTCACCCTATGCCTGCCACATCGCGGTGATAATGGCGCTGCTTGTTTTTCCTTTATTTACACAAAAAAAAAGCCAATCAAGCGCGTTGCTCGAGACATCCCCGCTATCTGGGCGTGTGCCACCCAGGCGGTTCCCCGTTGGGGTGCCCAAGTGCTATGCCTGCTACATCGCGACGATCATGGGGCTTCGAAGAGAAATGGGTCGGAGAAGGGGCAGACAGGCGTTCTACCTGATAGTGCACACAAGTATGGACGCGAACGGTCCCACGGAACACCCCCTGCACGACTCTCCCTCGGAGTGTCCAAACACTGTGCCTGCTACATCGCCATGGTCATGGGGCTCTGA